GTATGATCATAATAGTGATAACAATTACAGACAGACTTATTTGACTATCATTCAAGATAGCAAAATAAAGATATTATAAGAGATTATGCGGAACAATTGGAGGAAGATTTAATTAAGAGTTGATAGTGTTGTTTGTTGGAAGCATTTTAACTGTCTGTCTCAGGCCCATTGTGTTCATTGTCAACAGAAGCTACATGTGGATGGGACTCTTGGAACTCCTCAAGATCATCATTGGCAGCCGATTCACCATCTGATTCTTGATCTTTGAGAACAACTTCCTCTAAGAGAAAATTCATGCTGAGTGTTGAGTCAGTGTATATATCTAATTTAAGAAACTCTATTAAGGCAAACCACATGTTGGGTATAACTGTGCGGCCCACTAAGCCTCTAATACCATTTCTTGGTTACATGCCATTTTACCAGCAGTGCTTCATGCTGCTGCTGATAAGTTTCCAATTCATCATGTAGCAAAGTCTTTGCATGGTTTTCATCTTCACCTAGTGCATCATTTAAATTATTCTGCAGCCCACTGCTTAATGGACCTAAAAAATGAAGATTTTGATCAATCAACTTTGGTCAAGTAGTACCAACACACAGACATAAACAAAAATGTGCCCAGTACACATTTATCAATGCATGTTTTCACCTGATCTCTGTGGGAAATCCTCCATGAGACGGTCCTTCTCAATTGTCAGTTGAACAAGTTCCTCTTTTGAACGTTCCAAGGCAAGGACCACATGGATTCCAGACCGCACATTAGGATTGATGGCCCATGGGTCCTTGGATAGGCACATGTACCCATTTATGGTATTCAAAGTTGAAATGCATGAAATCATAGAGTACATAAATCATATAATCATAAAACATTTTGGCTGGGAAAGCCAAAGCTTACATAATCAGATTACCAAGATCCCCTGCCAACAAGGTTTTAAGATCTTATGATTTATGCGGTTATGATTTCATGCATTTCAACTTTGAATACCATAATTATTCCAAAAGGGGTTGTCCCACAGGAGTTTCTTAAATTGGTGCATTTTCTGGTAAGTTGAGTTGTTCAGCACAGTGGTTTCTGAGTTAGTCAGTACACCGAGTCTGGAAAGTGTTTAAACAGAAATGATGGATTTTTTCAACAATCCAGGGCATCAAACATCTTCTCCTTCAAGACAGTTCCCAGGTGCTTTCCCCAACCCTTTGAATCACACAATGGTTGCAATTCACCTTGCATCTGAACTAGTGCTAACTTGGCACTGTAGAGGAGCCCCAACCGTTCTTGTTGGTCCTCTATTGAATATCAATATTAGTTTTATCCTTTTGCCTTTATCAGTTTTCAAAAAAGGCATCTTACCATCCTCAATATTAGCTGTTCCAAAATGAGAGCCCAGTGTTTTCGTTTCCTCATATTGCTTGGCCTGGAGCATTTGGATCTCACTCAACTGGTTCATCATCTGGGTGGGATCAGACTGAGAGCATGATTTTAATCCTGACACAAGCATCTCACTGGACTGCAACAAGTGTTTTGATGGTTTTGCCTTGCTCAAAGAACTGTGCTAGCTCCTCTTTGTGGGCTATCTCCTCTTCATTTAGACTGGCATGGAAAGCACGCTGAGCTTCCCATTGTGCCCAAAACAAATCCTTGGTGAAGCAAATGCCACGTTAATGTGGGTTCAGCTGACTCAGAAGCTTGTCCACATTTTTAAGAGCTTCTTTTTGATGAGCAATTGCATGAAGTGTCTTCCTCTTGAGAGTTGATACTAAGAATAAAAAAATTAAAAACCAGTAAAGAAACCCAAATGCATGAATAGAAATAAGTGAAAACAAGCTTCTCCATTCCAAGCATGTTGTGAAATACACTTTGATGATTAATTCCACCAATCCAACAATTTTGAGTAGCATACCTTTGAGGGCCCACCAGTGGGGAAAATTAGGATCACAGGCGCTCCAAACCCTCACTGTCTGTTAAGCCCCATCCCTTGTTGTATCTTGGATTGAACTTGAGCTGACATACTCAGTCATGGACATAGGAATGAAATACTGCTGTACCAAATTTCACCCTTGGAAGCTGTTTGGTGAGTAAATTCCGTGATTCAATTTTTTTTTCCCAGGGTGCAACCAATATTGTAAAGAGCTCCTATTTGTATTTTGGGATTTAGTTTGCCAATAAGCCGCTTCAAGATTGAAATAGGTAGGCCACATCCTTCTCCCGATTTGTGTATATTACAGAAATAGATTACTGAGGCCCCATTTGGCAGTGTCATAAATTCAAGTGTAATATTGCCTTATAAATTCAATATGAAATAAGCCACTCAGAAATATGTAATAAAAACTTGACTGGGGCAAGTTCAACTACTGATTTCAATTTTAGAACAGAAAAATTTGAGATAATGGGCTATCCTCAGCACTATAATACCAATATTACACTTTTTACCCATATAAAGTGTGATAACAATATTATGGGGCTCAAGATGGCCTAAGATATCAAGTTTGTTCTCAGAATTGATTAAACCAGTAATTGAACTTGCCTGAGTAACAATTTTGAAACATATTTTGCGTTGGTTTATTTTTTATTGAATCAATCAGGCAATATTACACCTAAATTTATGACGCTGCCAAACGGGGCCTGAATCGTGTTGGCAGCAACATCCAAACAATCCAGTGTCATCACCACCTTTCCAAGTGCTGGTGTTTTGTTGGTCATCTGCAGCCTTGTGCTGCTCTGTAGATCTGTCTTTCTGATGAATGACAGAAGAAATATGAGTTGACTGAACAGAGAAGGGTAGTATATAAGAGACATACTGCTTTCTCAGTCTTTTTTTGAGCTTTTTTGTGGGTTAATATTTGTTGTTAGAGGCTTAGATTTCTCCTGGAGTGACACACAGATGGGGAGTATGAAGGGGCAGGTGATTTTTGGAGGCCTTCTCATGATGTCGGTGTTGAAAATTTCCATTGAGGCAGAGGAATATTTGGCTGGTGTCTGAGGGTTGTGATTCATGGTCTACCGGCAGCTAAACACCAAAACAAGCTGGACACAACCGTTGCACTAGGCCGGTTCACGTCTGGAGTTTAAGGCCACTTTTAACGCACTTGAAGATAAAATTTCATGAAACATCATGTTCAGAGGAATTTGAGATTTCTGACAAGTTTGTAAAATTTTAATGATAAATGTCATTAAATTTGCCTCAAAGTTCAGACGTGAACCGTCCTACTAGAATGTCTTTTGAGGAGCAGGTGGTTGTGGTCTGAATTAAATCTTGTTCTAACTGCTTCAGGTGTTGGTAGGCATTGACTGAACTTGAAAAACAACTCCAAAGATCCCTGGGCTATGTGAAAGAAAGTCAGAATAATCACCACTGAGGAAAACAGGAGTTCTTGCCACTATAACTTGTTTTTCTCCTTGACACACAGCCTGATTGAAATTCTTTTGTTCCACCTCCGTATGACTTCAGTAAATGAGGTCAAATGGGTGTTGCATATATTCCATAAGAGATCGTAAAAGTGAAGCAGGTGTAGAAAAAAAAGCAGTCTGAGGGAAAAAGGGTGTGCTTGCAATATAACCGTTAGCCAACATGTTTATTGGGTTGGGAAGGCAGGAGCAAAATGCCATTTTGGTTTGCTTCTGACCTGTCAAAAAAAAATGAATATAAGTTCTCAATCTGAATAGCATATGTTCAATGAAACAGCTCACCCATGAGATCAATGAGGTCAACCTCTCTCCAATTCTGCTGTTCTGGAGTGCATTTACACAGGTCCTTTGAAAATTCTTCAAGACAACCGATCTGGGACCAGTTTTGTGTTTTCTTTTTCAAATGGAAGTAGGCTGGGAACATCAATACCATAAGATCTGACCAATTCCACAATTTTTGCTGCTGTATGAGTGCTTGATGGTGTGATCAAATTTGTCTGAGGGATTCAGCGTCTTCTGGTCTCATCTTGTCTGGAATGTCATACCAAGCATCTTGGTCTTGATCATGTTGTGAGAGTTCTTGGTTGTTGTTGTGAAGGTAATTGTCTTCAGGTATCAGTTCAGTCAGCGGCACAGGAATACTAGGGATAGTTATATCTGATACTTCAGCTGCCGTGTGTTTGCGCATCTTGTTCCGGTAATCTCTGGGATCTTGTTTTGATCTGTGGCATCCGTGATCCTTTGTGGAATCGGTGGGGACTAGATGTTTTCTTTCTGGCCGTCATCTTTGATTTTGATGTGTTGGAATATTGATGAGCAATTGTCAGTTATGCTAAGATTGTGGTTTATTTTGATATTTTCCCCTTATCCCATGTAAATGTTGGCAAATCTGTTCATCTCTGACTGCACAAACCTGAGCTCACACGCCTCAAATACAGTATCACTATCCCCAAATCCTGTTTGGCAATTGTTTTGGCGCACCTAGCTGTGCTGTAAATTTCAACTCAAAAATAAAGTAAATATATTGAATAACAGGATAATTGTAAGAATATTAATTGGTAGCTGAGGAGAAAAAGCAATAACAATTCTGAGGAAAAGGTAATTTTTCAATGTTCAGGGTAAGATAATGGTAAGCATATATCATGTAAGAACGGATTTCAAAACAAACTTGGTATAAAGAGTTGATGAATAATAGCTGTAGTATGAAATAATAGCTGTGAGAAAGTTATGATTTATTTAGACTTCTGCCGCTCCCTCTGTTTCTCTGCCTTTTTTGGTCTTGATTTACAATAGGGGGTATCAAATATAACCAAATCCACCATTATTTAATTGACTGGTTTGGAAAAATCCACCCTTTTTTAAACATGTTGGTTCTTCATTTAACCCCATTTGGGGCCCATTGATGTAAAAAAATAATTTTGGAAAATTGACTGGTTTCTAATGGTGGATTTCCTATATTTGATACCCCATAATGCTTTTTTCTGCATTGTCTATTTGTTTCTTTTGACCAGCTATACAGTCAGTCACCAGTTGCTGTACCATTAATATAAGCAACAATAGCATTTGACATGGCTTCAGAGGTTTGACAGGAAAAGCCAATTCAAGTATACTTGTCAGACAGGGAGGACCCAGTCAAAGTCTGATGATGGTGATCTTTGGACCAGAACACACACATGGTCACACCAATTACTTTGTACAAGTCCAAGTACACCTGGAAATCACAAAAGGCAAATTGTCCCCCTATCATATCAAATCCATTGTCTGCCAAGATGGGATCAACTTTGTTCAAGTTCTGAGGATTCAAGATTGGTATCCAGCAAACAAGGGTCCAATTGTTTTCATCAGTATTGAATTAATGGCTCTCTTTGAAAAAATTGTACATTGTCAATGTGAGAAAAGAAGACAACAACAGAGGCCATTCCATGTGGGCCATTGAGGGTAAATTATTGTTGGAAGAGTCTTTTGGTAATCTTCAAATACTCCAGGAGCCAGTTCTTGAAGGTGAACAGAGATCCAGTTGTTGGCCTCTCTAACAGCAACAGCTTCATCCTTGGCAACGTAGTTGGATTTTTGCATCAAAGCGACCAACCTATCAACAGAGCAATAATGGCCAAATGCCTCACATTCCTTGGAGTGTTCCGCCATCCATCAGCCCACATGGTTCCACCCATGTGAGGGCCATTGTTTTTGACTGGTGCAATGTAATGAGTTTGGGAGAGAAAAAAGCACACAAGCTTTTCCCATCCAAGCAACTCATCTGATGGCATTGATGCAAACAAGATAAATTTAGCCTTTCAAAAATACTTCCTTGTTTTGTGGGACAATTATGACTGTGCCATGGTTGCGACCTTTGTAGGAATATGAGAGAATTTCTTGTGAGGTGTGCATCACATTGTGTTCAGGGTCATGTTGACGGGCAGGAGGAACAAAGTAGTAGAAGGGTTGTTTTTTGAGGGGCACAGGTTGCTGAGATGAAGGTATTGGTTTCTCCTGGTCTTTGGAAGCAACAAAGGGATTGCTGGCTTTGTCCCAAAGTTGATTCCATTGTTTGATGTCCTCATCAGGTTGGACCCGTTTTCTCCTTTCAAAGAAAAAAAGCTGGAGTGATATAATGGCAGATGACAATGCCAAGCTCACTTGGGTTTTGTACCTGTAGCAGTATTACCACTTGCTTCAAAATTCAGGGTCACAAAAGCCGATCCAGTTGATACAAAGCTAGAGAGAAGTTGTTGGTTGAGACTGATGGCGGCAAATTGGCTTCCAGGAAGTTGTGAATTGATGTTGCACCTGTCACCCAAAATCAAACTCTAGACTTGACAAGCAGCAACCTACTCAGCTTGAAAAGCGTAGTGAGTATTGCCCTGTCTTCCTCGGACAATAATCATCTGATTGTTTTTTTTTTTTTTGGTGAGCAGGATTCCACCTGCTCCAGCAAGAACGTCAATGGGTCGTACATGTGGCCAACCAAACCTCACCACCAAGAAGAAAGCTAGGGTGGCTGGGATGGTTGAAGCTGGCATGTTGCATACCAACGTCACTAAGGTGGCTTGGCAAGATCAACCGTTTCAGCAATTGTAACTCGCTCTCATAATCTTGGAACCGTTCAAACAGCTGCAAAGCCTGGCAGGCCTCATCTGAATACTGATCACAATATCTGTCAGCTCTGAAATTTCTTGGGGAACCATCTGAAGTTGTCTCTTGCCAAAGTCGGTGACTCAATTCCAAACCCAGTCTCAAGATCAACTGTCCAAAGACAAGCTCATGAGTTTGGATACCACAGCAGGATTGCTGTGAAGAAACCATTTATAAGTGATAAAAACGTAATAAATGCCTTGCTTTCACTTGTGAACAACTTATTAAATGGACTATTGCCGACTGGAGCAAGGTCATTTGGTCCAATGAATCTTTGTTCAAGACCGGGAAGAAGTCCAAACAGGTCGGTGTATGGCAACAACCCAACAAACAGATGAAAACCAAATGCCTTTAGCCCACTTTTAAGAGTGGGCGCTCCTTGACTTCAAGTTGGGGTGCATTTTATGGAACAAGCAAGATTCCAATCATCTTCCTTCAAGCGGGTGGGACAAAAGTGGTTGACTATATTGACCAAGTTTACAAAGGCAGACTAGTTGACACACTAGCTTCAATAATTGATCCCAACCATCAACTTCTGTTGATGGAGGACAATGCCCGCTCTCACGTAGCTAAGATCACCAAGAAATTTTGTGATGACAACAACATCAACACAATTGAATGGCCCCCTCAATCACCAGATTTAAATCCAATTGAAAACCTCTGGAAGATAATCAAGAACGGAATTCAAGAGCACTACCAACCCAAGTCAATCCCCGAGATGAAGCAGGCAATCCAACAGGCCTGGTTTGATATTCCAGTTGAACACCTCCGCAACTTGATCAATTCTATGCCTAATCAAATGCGCCTTATTGTTGAGGCTAATGGTGGCCCAATCATGTATTGAGATTATTAATTTATTTTTCACTTTTTTTCAAATATTTTCTCATAATCATCATTCCTGGCCTCTCAGCTACCCCCTCCATATTATTTGTATTTTTAAAACAATTTCTGTCAGCTCCTGGATCCTCATTAAAACCCGCTCTGCCAGCTCCTGCATCCCTATCAAAACCAGCTCCTCCAGCTTCCTTAATCCTGATCCAAAACCCTAAACCCTAACCCTAAACCTTGAAACCTAAACCCCAACCCTAAATCCTAAATCCTAAACCCTAAACCCTAAACCTTAAACCCTAAACCCTAAACCCTAACCCTAAAACCTTAACCCTAAAACCTAAACCTGAACCTAACCCCTAACCCTAACCCCTAAACCTAACCTCTAAAACCTAACCTCTAAAACCTAACCCCTAGACCTAACCCCTCAGCCTAAGCCCTAACCTGACCCCTAACCCCTAAATTAGTGTTGCTTCTGGTGGGGCTTCAACCCACTGCAACTTATGAGAGGTGGAGGGCAGGCTTAGCTGACTAGACCACAAAGACTGGACTGAGAATTCAATGTTTACTGTAAGTTTAGTGTTCAGGGTGAGCTGGATGAGCTGGGAGAACTGGTTTTGATGGGGATGTGGGAGCTGGAAGAGCTGGTCTTGATGGGGGTGCGGGAGCTGGAAGAGCTGGCTTTGATGGGGATGCAGGAGCTGGAAGAGCTGTTTTGATGAATGAAGAGGAGTTGGGTGAGCTGGTTTTGAATGAAGGGGATCTGGGTGGGCTGGTTTGAGGTGGAGCTGACCGGAGCCAGCTCTGCATGTTTTTCCATTATAAATGGAGGAGCAAATCCAGTTTTCCTCCATTTATAATGGAAGAATTAGATTGACACAGGTGAATCAGCTTCATCAACTCGGCTCCTTCTATAACAATTGGATCAGTCTTCCATCAATACCACTGAAACCAGCCAATAACTGAAGCTTCTTCCCTGCTTTATTTGCAATAGACCGGTGACTATCTGCTCAACAATCGGTCAAACCACCTTAAATTGAAGTCTTTCAGCCCTGCTTGAACAATCTCAATGAATCTGCAGTGACTTCTACTTGGTCAGCCTTTTTGAATTCAAAATGATCACCTAAAACTTCAGCCACCTGGACTATCGTTTTCCTTTCCCAATTTCCCCTCCTGAACTTGTTCTTTTTTTTCCTATTGGTTTGATCTCATTACCTGTTTGATCCAGATTGGTCTCAAAATGTTTCTAATCTGCTTGGTCTGGTTTCACCATCTTGCTCATTGGCAAAACCTGTTTGAATCTGACTATGCATCTCATTGTTTGATTGACCCCTCCTGTGAGGTTTCTCTTTGACCATGGTGACCCTGATTGTTCTACTCGAGCTATCAAACTCCTCCCTTAAGCAACTTGCTGCAATAACAGTATTGATTGCAGAGATATAGATACACTGAGCCAAATTGCTTGGACTTTCACGTCTCTATCAGCAATCAATCTGACTTCAATCAATGTTGCAACCTTAGGTTGCAATTTTAAAATTAACTATGATGCTCACCACACAAATTTATAATTTGTCCATGGGGGTTTATTTTGAATGGAAATAGTTCCCTGGGGTAGATTGCTGTTGATGTGACAGCCCCGGGTCAAAGACACTGGCCTTCTTGAATACCTCAGCAACAATTGGTACAGTAGAGCTGACAGGGTTTGAGAACATTCCCAATGCAAGCCTCAGGAATTTTCTGATGATTGTGCTTTGATAAAATCATACTGTCATCATGCTTCAGGGCAACAAGGTGTTGATTAGGTATCCAAAGTGACCTGAATGATTCAACTGATTGAGGAGACTGATCACCATTGGAAACCCTTTGAATATGTATAGGAGGCTTGGAACAGCCTTCAGCTGCTCAGGTCTCAACTCCAGCAATCATCAGTTAAGTCTAAAGAGCCGGTTTGAGCCACATCAAACATGGATTGTACTGACTCCAACTGCTTTTCTTGTTATCCAGCTGCCTGCAATTCCAGCTGGTTCAAGTATATCACATGAAGCTATTTGCCAAACAATTTGGGAAGAAGGCCAGGATGGTTGTCTTTCTACTCATCTGTGTCATAAAATTCCTCATTTCATGGGGTTGTAGCTGTACAAAGTCCCTTTGGTTGGTAATGATAGTGCAAGTGAATTGAATTTGAGACACAAATTTATTTATTCTGATTTATTAACACATGTTACAACTTTTGCTGGCTCAAAGTGATCAAGCAAGCTGAGTAAACCACTTGAAAACATCAATCTATCCCACACTGGACTACCCAGCTTCCAACTGGAAAGCAAAGTTTTGGCAGCTTGGCTTGGAACTTCTTTTCTAGACATAGGGAATCAATATAGGCCAAGTAGATTAACTCCTATTTCTGTACAGTAGTTGTACTTTTGTTTTGTTCAGCATCATGCTGGCCAAGGAGTGGGAGAAAATGCAACAATGAGCCCCTCAAGGCCCAACTGATTCATGATTAGCATGATTGTGCCAGATCAAAAAGGTTTAACCCTGGAAGGTCAATCAGAGTCCAAAGTCAGAACATTAATAGTTTTCATCCAACTACTTTCACATCCCCTGTGACACTGTGTGAAATGTGATGTTCAGCTTTGTGTAGACTTGGATAGTTTGACTGACTAAAATTGTGTCAAATGAATTTAGAGCTGCTGAACCTGAGGAAAGTTATGCCAAGAGGTCTGGGTCAGAACCAGAGGAGAACTAAGGAATCATTGATGAATACAGAAATTATTATGGATTTTGAGAGCTGACAGAGCTGTGTTTCCCTCATGCCTAGAGCAGCAGCAGCTATATGCTACATAATCACCCTGCACATCAATTTCCCTGATGGTCACAATGGTGCTCATTGTTCATGAATGATGAGCACTACACCTATAATTTAACTATAATGACTGGTGCAGCTAATAACTTCCAATTCATGAAATCAATCATCAAGACAAGAGTTGTTGAAAAAATTGCTATTGATTGTTCCAATTAGACTACAAAAGTGCATAAGATTCAACATAAAACCAGCTATGAAAGACTATAATTCAGTCCAGATATCAAGATGATTCAACAACAAGAAAAGAGATGGACTGAATGAGATTTTTAGGGAGGAGTAGACAGGAACAGAAAAACTCAACAGTGGCATTATCAAGGAGTGAATTTAAGGTCAAAAAGGTTTTGCTGAGGCCCATACTCACAGCCACTGAGCTGAACCCACAATGTCCATCACCTAGAACATTAAAGATCAGTGATATAGAATGCCTCAAATGGGTAGGCACTGATTTGTACTGAAGATGATCCTACATTGAATTGAATTGAATTAAGATCAAATATCATCAGATTTTCCAAAACAATTGACAACATCATTGCAGTATTGAAATGTTACCTGGTCAAAGCTGATCCATTCAAATGCTCTATCAATGGTGCCAGAGCTGCTTCTGTTTTTTTTGAAGCTCTGGTTGTCGTTGATTTCCATGGAAACTGGGTCTTCAAATTCCACAATTGGTGCCACCTCTTTGGATGCTGCAATTGGTACTAGGTTGGTAGGTGCTAGTCCCTCAGGCTCTTCATTCTTAACAAGGGAAATTCAATTGTTCTTGAAACTGCGTAACAAAGGGTATGTTTTGGGTAGGTGAAGCTTCCTGATAGGTTGCAAGAAGTGGTGCACTCCCAACTGCACCGGGTTTTCAACAATTACCAGTGTAAGATTTTTCTCTTGAGTCTTTAGAGGATATTATTAGTCCCAGGCCAAGGGGCTGTTGAGTTGGTCAGGCCAATAGCTTGACCTACATGCACAAAAAAATCATAAAAATAATGCACATTGACCTCTCTCCATGATTCTGAGTAAATGGTAAATTCTGAATGAGATAACTTTGTACATGTCACGGAGCTTGATGGAAAGATAATTATGGTTTTGGGCCAGACCTCCTGAATTTGTTCCAAAAGGAAGAAAGAAAAATTAGCATCTTAAGGCAATGTACAAAGAGGGGGGCTGAGCTTACCCTGACAAACATCACAATTTCCTTCAGGACTG